ATTCGCTTTCACACCCAGTCTTTTCAAACTTATTACATGCAATAGCGTTTTGCTATCATCTCTGTTAAGATTTTGGGCTTTAGTCCAAACAAATGTGTTTTTTACCGTTTGTTTGAGCCACCTTAAATTCAAAGTGTTTCCGTGCGCGCGCGCGCTATTCGCGTGTCACGCCACTTCGGAACTGTCTTCTTAACACATTATGTTATTGGGTAACATACATTAGAGCGGTTTTCAACTGAGTGTCGTATTAAACCAAACCAAAGCTATCACTCTTAGCCAATCACAAAGGACATGGACAATCCAACGAACTAGTCAACGAGTACGAGCCACTCACGATTGGTTTTGATTTAACTTCTCATTGGCATGAAAAAGTGGCCTGAGTGTATTAAACAAACGTGTAGAGATGCAACACCAAAGGAAATTAATGCGAATCACTCTTTACATCCTATTTATAATCCTTATGCTGCTAGACTGAGGAAAATTCATCTTTTTTCCGTAGCTCTGATGTACGCCTCCATATTTGGAAATTTGACTGCTATCATTCAAAGGCTATATTCTCGTACTTCTCGATTTCACCGAGATTTGAGAGTTATCGAGGACTTTGTTAAATTTTACAAAATACCGAAGTCCACTAAAGAGGAGCTGGACGAGTACTTCAGACACGAATGGGCTTATACGAAGGGCGTTGACATGGAAACGGTATGTGTGCACCAGTGGCGAGCGAATTGACATACTTTCGTAGGCTAGGAACTTCGCTTTTTGAGAAATAGGAATTAATAGTTAATATATGGCTAACCTCGTGCATTATAATGAACTGTACCGCATGAAAGTGCCGCTCAATAACTTTCATTTGAATGGTCACACACAAGGGTTTTTGCAAATCATAACAAACGGTACCACATGAAAGTACTACTCAATAGCTTTCGTTTAAATGGTCACGTATTATGGTTTCATTCATATACATTTTTAAGTTTCAAGGCACATATATTGACTAGAGTTAGACTCTGGAACAGATTGAAATATTGTATTCTTTATACCAGGATAAAAGAATGCATTACAGTTACAATTCTGGTAATCTAGGAAGTTGTGACAAAGTCTCGTAACGCAATTACTTGATGCTAGTTACGCCGTTGGGGGAATACTATTTATTGCCGGGTGAACTCTCATATAAAAGTGACGGGGGTGCTCGTCGGGGTTAACATTCGTGTTGTGCTACCCCTTGGGGTGTTAAAATAGAAAATGACCTCCGCGAGAGTTATCGCGCGCGGTACCTCTTAGGATATTGAGCCAAAAATGAAACAGGAATTATTTGTCAGTCAACTGAATTTTATCTGTCTCATTCATAACGACTCATCTTCTAAAATGTTCCATTAGAAATTAGCCACTTAAATAGGATATAGATTTATGACAACGTTTTCAAAAATCTTTACAGGTAGAAGGTAGTCAATGTATCGTCTTTATTGCTATTTTAAAAAATATTGTCATAGTGTCAGTTAATGTGTTGTTTCAGGATCTATACCTCTAAGGGGTAATGTTGAATTGGCACCACGCCCACAAAACGAGATTTTGCTACCATTTAGGGTTTTTTTTGGAAACTTCCGACGAACACCCAATCATATTATATGGAAGTGTCCTCCGCCCCTGGGCAGTGATTTTGCAAAGTGAATACTGTTCTAGAGAACACGCTGATATCACCAGGAGTGTCTTGTTACAAATCACGTCGCTCCTGGGGCCAGAACCGTTTTGTTTACCATGCCATTAATGATTGGAACACTTTACCAGATTTAACAGTTCAAACATTCTAATTTTTAGAGGACTCCTTAAGAGTATCGCTTAATTTTATCTTATAATTTATACATTTTAAACTTTAACTTTGTAAATGTAGAATAGCTAACGTTTTTGAGCTTGTAAATTTAGCTTTTTAAGGAATGCAGGGCCACCCTGAAAACCACGTATGTGACGTGGGCTCCATGTTAAAATATCTTTATTATTGACAGCTCATTTCTTGTCTTTAGGTCCTCAAACGTTTTCCCGAGTCTCTTCAAGCTGATGTCTGCCTTTATTTGCACAAAAATTTATTCACAGAGTGCTTAGCGTTTAAAACTGCTAGCGAGGGCTGTTTACGAGCACTTGCGTTGCGGTTTAAGATTCGACATTATCTTCCGGGTCACTTCATCATTAAACAGGGAGACGAGGTCAAACGTCTTTACTTCATAGCGAAAGGAAATATCGAAGTTGTCAAATTTGACGAGACCATGCTAACATTAGGTTGGTGTTCAAAGTTTTCTTTGATTTTATTCCTCGGCACCTTGCTTGGACCAGAGCTTACTTTTCCCTCCTCCTGAGCTTATTCTGGTTTCTGTAGCGTGACGTGACTATAACAGTGAGCATGACGTGACTATAACAATGAGCATGACGTGACTGTAACAGTGAGCATGACGTGACTATAACACTGAGCATGACGTGACTATAACTGTGTTGTTAGTCAAGTCTCGCTCTCTTCCTCTCTGTATCCGAGTGTGAAGGGAAAACACAAGAACAACAACAACAAATGCAGAAAAACTACAAGGGAAGGAAATACCCGAGAAAACGTCGCAATTTGCACGTGTGCAAATATATTTGTGACAATTAAGACAAACAAGTTAGATTCCGGTTTATTTAAACTGATCAAAAGTGGAATTAAACCATTGGTTACTAGGTTTTGTTCTGTTTCCCACGTTTGACACGAGTTACATGTTTTCCCGCGCTAGCCACCAGGTATATATTTTCCCGCGGTTTTATAGTACCGACTACAATTTTTTCCCGCGCTTCGCATCAGGCCTTTATTTTCCCGTGATTTAGTACGGCTGCATATTTTCCCGCGCTTGGCGCCAGTTGTAGGCTTTTAGGACGTTTATTAAGACCATCTGCACTTAGTTTGGTTGACACTAATTGGTTTAATGTGTTATTCGCGTTTGTCAGCGACGGTAATTTGTAGATCATGCTTTCTTATTGTCAATATTTACGATGCATCAATCAGTGCTTCTTTGCACTCAGTCAAAACATTCTTCTACTTGATTGACAGGTAAGGGTGATGTCATCAGTTGCGATTACAGCACAGTACAGAGTATGTACATTCCTAAAGCTAACGCCAGTCTCCGCGTTCAAACTCATGTTGAGATCCATTCAGTGGCCTGGAGCGAGTTAGTTGCGGTACTGAAGGCTTACTCCTCCTTTCGTGAGGAGTTCATCACTCATTTGGAGCTGGCATATAATCTGGGACACGAAGTGGAGGTACGGAAACATAACGCCAACTGCTACTCGTACCACGTGGTTTCATACTAATCAACAAATGCTACCATAAGTGTTTTGAAGGAAGTCTCTTACTCTTTTATAGTCAAACCAAGTGAGGTGTACCCCTCAAGATTTTTTCTTCTTTTTTAAGGTAGATTGTTTCCAAGGTCTACCATGCAAACAACCGCTACTGTGTGGCTACTTTGTTTGCTAGTGTCTATAAATTTAACCTGTATTTTGTTTCTTCTGGAAGTAAATAAATTAAGTTGCTCTGTATTTTCTGCACAGGAAGACGAAATTGTCTTATTTCCAGAAGAAATTCACCCGGGATCTCGAAAATTATCTAACGCCCGATCAACATTCTCTTCACGTCAAGGAGTCGACAAACTCGAACGGTCAGGTTCACCAACATTTATTATTAATGGGCGACTACCACAGGATCAGAACGCTGCCTCTGCCATTGATTTACATTCACGTGCCGCCCGACCGTCTGCGAGTGGAAGCGAGCCAAGAATCCATACGCTTATGCCGTCGATCCATTCCACTCTTCCTTCGTTACACACGCATTTGACTTGTGATCAGGGTCCTTGCACGAACGGGACAGAATTGAAAGTTCTCGAGAAACGGCTAGATAACATAGAGGCGCGACTGGTAGCCATGGAGGAGCGCTTAACAGAAAAATTTGAGACAATTCTGCGTCATTTACGAAGTAAAAGTAGTGGCTCCGCTCCTGAACTCAGAAATACAAATGTCTGACAACGTATTACTTTTGACACAATTTATCGGTTGATCGCGTGTTTTTGTTCACGTGACTTTCATAGGTTCAACAACACGCCTAAATTATATCGAGATGACAACTGTCATGCCATGCTGTAAATAGTGGAAACTTGGTGGTTTTCCGGAATATAAAGCTTGAAAAGCTGACATTTTAGTGACCGTAATTGATGGCACTGTGACAATTTCAATTTTTTTTCAAAAAAAAAGCAATGCGTGAATTAAACAAATGAGCAAAGTACAGAGTCATTGGCAAAAGGTACTTCGCGCTTTGTGGAACGCATTTCGTTAGGGCCTGCGGGATATTCAACTTTGCATCAAATTGACCGGGAAAAATTGTTGTTTGTTTATTTTGATGACTTTGTATAAAACATTTTTGAAAAATTCGTGCTGTTTATACTGGAAAGTACTTAAAGTGCTATACATAATTTCAGAAACGTAACTTCCCGCTAACATTAAAGATCTATTGACTTTGTCAAACTACTCAGTAATGCATGTATGTACAAAATGAACCAGTTCTTTGTGCAGGTTTTAAAACTTTACACTCTAACATCAAAACGTTAATATAATTATAACAATTGTATAATGATATGAACAACATTGCAACTTCTAAAGTGGAGAACTTAAACAGTTCTTGAACTGCTGACGTAAGGTGAAGAAATCCACCGTGATTAATTCATAGCAACTACGCTTTTCAGCTTCAGTTTTTGATTTTAAAATCGTGTTGAAGTTGCGATATTGACACTTGTCTAACAGAGCGAATTTCATCCAATTTTTCAAACCAGTTAAGTAAGAATTGTTATTTCTATTTATTTATTCAAGTGTGTTATATCATAAAGCTCATTTGTTATCCTTTGTCACGTGAATAAATGAATAAACTGGTTTCATACGTTTTAAACAAAAGTGATGCTTATTGTTTTGAGCCTTGGGCAGATAAGGACCACGCCCGGTTTTCAGCAACCATTCCGGTCCAATTAACAAGCGTGATTTTCTACATGTACCCGCCACCACTGAAATTTTACCGTCAGCCTATAGTTGTGTTTGTTTTAAAATATTTGTTTCAAATATACGGTCTTGAAAGCTTCTACTTTACGACGGAGGCCAGCATAAAATTTTTTTAACCTCTGCAGCAAAATAATCCTTTTTCCCGCCTACTTTTATCCATTGTCTCCGAAGATGTGACGGAGATCGTGCTCGTGGGCTACTCGTGGCCTGCTCACTCTCCTCGGTACATATGGTTTCATTCTCTTCGCTCTAACGTAGATAGTAGAAGGGACCTACTCACCGTGGCTCTGATAACTCTTGCTTCACGGTAACCTTTCGCGCGCACTTGTCGTCGTGCGCTTGACACGCTCCCATGATTACGCGAACTTAAAATATATTGCGCGATCGCCAAATTCAAACGAACGTTCAAAATTTCTTCTAGGAAAGGAGAGGATACCATAAAAAAAATTCGGTAAGTTTACTCTTTGAATTAGCTGGTGATCTATCATTCAACACCGGATTGGCTTCTTTACTGTCAACGGTTATAGTCTAATAAATTCGGACCCTCAGTAAAGCCGTATAAATATAAGCTTACCTATGAAATCTATGAAAGGATCGTTTGGATTTGCGCAAACGAGAAACGAGAAATTTTACGCGAAATTATTTATCATCCAGAAGATAAGGGCACCCATAACATAAGAAAACTGGCGCAGTTTCAAAATACCTTTAAATTTTAGCTTCTATGGCTGCCCGATAATGGAAGAAATCATTTTTATGAGGCGACTCATGACGACTAGTTTATTGTTCCACGATGAACTTTTATTCACTCTCCAGTTTACAAACGAAATTTTTCGATTTTCTTTTCGCAAGGCAAGCTTCAGACGTGTAACCTTTGTAATCTGACTTATATTTTATATTCAATTCAAGGTGAAAAGGCGTCCTTAGAGAAAACCATTATGAGGTCTCGATCTATGGTAAGTGTTTTTTTGTTCGCGCTAATTCTTTCTGCGCGTCCTTACTGCGCACGTAAATTCACACGCCACATCATGCATGAGCGCGCGCTAAATGAGCAATGATAGGGCAGATGGCCATTGCTATAGCTTTTCCTGGATTTAACGATCTTGGACGTTCGGTGACCCCTATTTTTCTTTTGATGGATCATTTTCTCTACCGATTTTCTACGTTAACGAAAAAATGAAGAAAATCTATCGACTAGAAGTTTGAAGTTTTTGCAAAATGCACCATCGAATTCCGTTTTTTTTAGCTCTTCGTTTATCTGTGCGACGGTTTCAAGTGCCTCTTGAAGGGTTAAGTTTTGTGAAAAAGTTGGCAACATTTAGAATTATTTACGCAACAGACCTACTTCTGCAA